GCGTACACATGATAGTACCACTTATGTGGGATCCTTAGACGCCCTATGCAAGCAGAGGTCAGCCAAATGGTTCTCCATCGCGAGGGGGCGAGGTGACTGTCCGAGTCTTGAGTCAGGATTAAGGGCTTCGGGTTTCGTCTAGGGACCTAGACCTGAAGCGCTTGAAACGTTAAACCCTCCCCAAAAGATTGAAGTTGAAGGACGAGGTTGAGCGTGAGCGTCGAGGACTTAAGTGGTTTTTGTCCGGGGGCAGCACTTGAGCCACTGTTGCTCAGCACCTCTTTGTCGCAATGGTTTGCACATGCTGCTAACCAAATAGCTCAAGGCCGTCTCCAGCCATCGATGTTCCCTTCACTTATGCTTCATTTTACGTTTTAGGGTTTAGGGTGTTAGGGTTTAGGGTTTAGGGGTTTAGGGTTTGGGGGGTTTAGGGTGTTTTAGGGTTGAGGGTTTAGCAGTATTGCCCGTCTTAGTATGAAAAGTTCAGGAGCTTATAATTTGTAGACCCTTCGAAATACTTGGGGAGACGCCTTAAACCCTTCCGTCCTAGACCACCAGCAGCAGCAGCAGCAGTAGTAGTAGTAGCAGCAGTAGTAGCCGCAGTTTAGTCATCGAAATCGCTGCTCATATCACTGAAGCACCGTTTGGCGCCATCCTTGTGAATGCCATGGACGGTGGCTACAAGCTCAACTGCTTCGAGGACTCCAGGGAGCAGTTGCTTTTTATGCCCTGAATTCGGACCTTATGGGAATCGGTTTTGTCGGTGCTGTTGAGGTTTGTGGGGCACAATAGTCTGGCTGTCTACACTAGATGGTCTACCATACCAAATAATCGAACGTTGAATGCTTTGTGAAAATCAGGTAAAAAGAGAGCCATGGTCTTGAAGGCGGCGAGTAGGTGCTTAAAGCCCTAAGCCCTCAACCTTAGAACAAGGGGAAGTTGCCTTGGCAGCAGGCGCGTCAACTTGGTTTGGGGCTAGGGGACCCCCAAACCCTGAACCAGAAAACAAGGTAAACTCAGACAGGGAAAGTGCGGAGTGTGACGGAATATATTGGGCCAGCCGCAGGACTTTGTCCGATACCTCATGGACGCAAACATTGCACCTCCGAATTCCTACAGAGTATACTGCAGTGCGCATCGGTGTTTACTGTTCAGCCTGATTGCTTGTGGCTGCACAAGGGGGCTCTTTCGTATTTTACCGGGGCACTTGTGGGGATTGCGGGTCGAAAGTCATTCCCAGAGTACCCAATTACCTCTTAATTAGGAATATGCCTTAAATCGTCACATTAAGGCCCTCATAGGTTAAGGCGTATTCCTTCAACAAGGGGTATTGGGTTTTCTGGGTTGTGAACCGTTGCATTTGAGTTTGCATTTCGCTCCGCACTCTCGGTAAATGTTGCTAAATGCAAGTCAAGAGAGATCCTTAGCCTCAAAGGACTAATCTTTTAAGGCTTTTGGGCCCGACAGACCCATTATATTAGGCTTTTGGGCTATTTTGATGCTAAAGGGACCCTTATACCCTAAACCCTAAACCCTTATGGTACCCTTATAGAACCCTTAAAGGACCCCCTAAGGCCCTTGGGCTATTTTGATGCTAAGGGAGAACATGACCAGTTGTCTGACGCTGCAGGAGTTGTCAGAGTGTTCCTGGTGTGTCCAAAGTCGGCAGGGCGGATCTGCCAACCTGCATGTCCTACCCAGAGAACCCAAATACCCCTTAATTAAGGAATATTCCTTAAATCATAATATCAAGGCCCCTGTAGTTTAAGGCATATTCCATAATTAAGGGGTATTGGGTTCTCTGGGTATTTGACGACTGGCCCAGCTCAAGACAAAGTGCAGAACACGCCAAGATTTAATGTAAGGGCTGGCACTCCAAACTAAATAGTTCAAGATTCTGTTGACATGGGGCGGCCAGTAAGTAATCCTACTGTTGAACTTGACGGGTGCCATCGTCGGATACACTTTCAAGCTTGTCAGTTTATGTAAATTAAACTAATACCAGACTACATTTAGCATGACCCATTGCTCGGAAGCCTGCTCTACATATACGTAACACTGTACCAAACTCTACAAAGCGAAGCTGCGCTGTACCCGACACGTCCTAAACCTCAAGCCTAAACACCAAGGCCCCTAAGTAGTTCCTTTTTATGGTTTTGGGATTACCTTATAGGGTTCTGAATATAAACCATAAAAAGGAACTACTTAGGGGCCCATGGGTAGTTTTGTAGTGTAGGTGGTATTTGGGACACTACCCTAAACCCTAAACCCTAACCCCTAAACCCCTAAACCCCTAAACCCTAAACACCAAGGCACTCGTGCGGCCTGCGTTTCTGGAGCAGCGTTGCAAGGCAGGCCAGGTGTGGCCCCGAAGACAGGAGGCCGAAGAGATTCCAGGCCCGGATGTTAAAGGTTTAGGGATTCTACCCATAGGCCCCTGAGCAGTTCCTTTTTGGGGTTACGTTATAGGATCCTAAATATAATATAAACCATAAAAAGGAACTACTTAAGCGCCTATGGGTAGGGCCGTTTAGGGTGTAATGAGGGGCTCAGGGTTTAGGGTTTACGGATTAGTCTGCAGCATCGGTCGTGAAACGTTGTTAGCATAGCAGTATCTTACGGTGGTGGCAGCATGTAGCTAACAGAAAAGTGAAACAATACCAGAGTGTACAGTGTAGCGCAATACCACACAGCATAGACCAGTACTATGCACCGTGGTGTAGCGCGTAGAGTTGTACAGTGTATCTATAGTAACTGCATAGAGCACTGCAGTTTCTTTGCAATATATATATTATACACTAGTTTCCATGTGTAGTTGTATGTACATGTAGCTGTAGCTACACAGTATGACAAACCTTAAACCCTCCCAAGAGGGTGTGAGAGGTCTGAACATTACATGCAGGGTTGTAGATGCGAGCAATTTTAGGCAAGTGCCAGCCAAAGGGGGTTGTAGGGCTATCATGTACCCATACGTCCCTAAGTAGTTCCTTTTTGGGCTTACTTTGTAGGATTCGAAATATAAACCATGAGAAGGAAGTACTTAGGGGCCTGTGGGTAGAGATGCCATGCTGTTGAGCTGTGGTATGGTCTTCTATACATTGACAGACTTCAACTTGGCGCAGTTCGGACATCTGTCGTACTGTAAGGGTGCCACTGTTCGAGACCATCGACCATAGCACTTCAATTGTGGTACTGCTGATGATTCCAATCCTGCATTACCTTAAGGACCCTAAACTATGGGAATTGTGGTATATTCCTTATTCTCGGTAATGCAGGATTTATATCATCAACCGTAGTTTGAAAGTGCCCAACAAGGCTAACGGGTCCTGCCACCTTCCTGATGCAGCATGCCGGCAGGGCTTCCGGCGTATAGGGTTCGAGTTTCTGGGGATGAGAGGAAGGGTAGTTATGCCGCCTGTATCCGACTCTATCCCTTAGAAGACCAGGTACAAACCATAGTAGCCATGAGTTTATGGAGTCCGCAGCTTGGCAAACTGCCAGGAGCACTGTACAAGGCCAAACCAGGAGACGAGTTCTGCTTCATTGCAATTTCGCATTGCTGGGAATCCCGCGAGCATCCAGACCCCTGTGGCTTTCAGAGACTCGGAAGCATCGAGAGAGGTCCCGGCAGTGCTTCCTGACCTAAACGACAGGGCGATCAGATTTACCCCAGAACATACATACATGTATACAACAGTACAAAAAGATACACATAATCATAAATATACATATATGTATACACAGGAATCAATGTCTGGTGAAGAACCAAGCCTGCATACCGAGCAATTCTGCACACGATCCGTGATATTACGAATATCAGAGTCGTAGTACTCTACTAAAGTTTAGTCTCGCTCAAGCTCTCGCGCAAGCTGCCCTTTTGACAGGGATAAGGCCCCTCTAGCATTCAGAGTCAGTGTACCGTATTATGCAGTATTACTACTAATACTATATTACGCTATCGCCTACTATCGTCTAGTTTGTATAGACTACAATAGCATAACACAGGTAGGCATAGTAGGTACACGACTGCACCGCTTGGTAACGAACACTACACTAGATCAGAAAACGCACACCGATCTATGTTTAGGTCCCACAAAACGACTCTCATGTAGGCGCCAGATTAACTTATACTGCCGGGTTGCAGCCCAACACTCGAGTTCGTCTCCCTTCTATAGAATTCATCTCTGGTGAATGATGCAGGTGAGTGAACGCATCGCATCGGTATTGTTTGGCGACATGTTTCTGTTTCACATGACCCAGTAGTACATGCACCGCGAGAACGGGGAGGCAATTGCGACCGTCGGTAGTTTTCCCACAATTTGACACCCAGAGTACTACCAGCAGATACCCCGTAGCGCCCACTTTACCTGAATATGGCGTGCACATGATAACCGGTATATCGCAACCTACACATGTATCGGTGTGCTTATCATCTATGCGGGTGCATAGTATGTTATACTATATACCAAAGCATGATATTACACTATATTGTACTGTATATGAACCTAAACTAAACTAAAACTCTCAGCTTTCTCAGCACCACGTAAATCATATCGTTCGGACGATATCCCTACCACAGAGACCCCATGAATCACGGATGTTGCTGACCCTTACCTAGAGGCTCCATATACACTACCATTATGGAATTAGGCTCCCCACAACCATAATGAGGATGGTCTTTGGGGGCCCAATTTCATAATGGTAGCCTATATGGAGCCTCTGGGTTAGATTTCCTTCAAGCTTCAACTGGTAACGGCCCGCATGCCTTCGCATTTGTGTGCAGACAGTTGTACAATTCGGAGACAGTGGAATTGGTCGCAGTCACGGTGACGCCGTATTTCTGGCGATTAAGGCAGCAGAAGATCGTTGAGGGTCTCCGATACTGGAAAGCTGCAAGGCCGCAGATCTTTGACCATCACGACCTGTACTTCTTCATTGACTACATTTGTTTGCCGCAGTTTCGGCGATGCGCAGCAGAAGAAGCTCAGTTCCAGAAGGCAATGAGTCACATGCATCTGCTCTATGCCGCTTTGATAAAACCTAGACGGAGCATGTTGCGCCGTACTTCAAATTCTCATTGAAGGCTCCGGATTTCAGGTTTGGCTTATTGTTCCTTCCGAAATCCAAGGTACTCAGACCGGACATGGTGTGAGTTTCCAAGTAGAGTAATCTGCTACGACAAAGTATTATGCAAGCCTTGCCTACTTCGCCGCCCTTTAACCCAAAATCGCACGCTTCTGCCAATCGAGGCCAACAGCGCGGCACCATTTTGCAAGGTCGTTTGGCGTCTTGAGAAGCTGACACCTTCAGCCTTGATACGCCAGCACCCTGGACGTGCAATCTTCAAACTCAAACTCGAGTTTCAAGGGGGGGGCTTCGTAGTACATCTTATAAATCCTTTCGTATACTATCTAATTACAATGGTTTGTTTTCATGTCTGACCACTGGACCTGGAGCTTTTGAATATGCAAAGTTTGCGCGTCTCGGGCCAACAAAGGCATATGCGAGAAGGGAGACGCATCTCAGTTTACAATGTGGGGCACGAGCGCTTGGAAGAGCTGCCTTTGCAAGACTTGAAGCCGAACTGCGTCCCATACCAGCAGCGTGGCTGGTGTCGTGCAGAGCTTGAGTGGGCAAAACCTTGGACCCTCGACATCTCGAGCGTGACCTCATGCCTTCGAAGATTTGGCTTTACGAACTACACATCCTGGTTTCACAGAATGTCGCTTCCCATGACGCCCGAGGCTTTTCGTGGTAAGGTTGGCAGCCAACAACTGAAGTTCACACATCGCGGTGACATGGAGCCTGTGATGCGGCTGCAAGAAACTAGGTAGGCCTTTGGGATATTTTACATTTTCCCTTATTGGGCTTAAGAGGACCCTTACTACTAATACTTTTCAGAGGCTTTAAAGGGCCAACCAGGAAACTGTTTTCTACCAAAAACTGGCAGCCATGGAAAGCTTCCGATGCTCGTGGCTGCGGCACTGGGAAATTCCCGATCTCCTGGAATTTGGGCTCTTGTTAAGGGATTTAATTTAAATTACCATAATAGGGATCTATAGTAAATAGTATGGTTTCTTATTCTGGTAACTTAAATTAAATCCCTTAACAAGAACCCAGGAATTGGTGGGGCGGCTACAGGCCTTGCAGGGCTTCTTTCTAGCATCTGCGTATCTCAGTGGGGAGCAGCAAGTCGCTTTGGTGTCCAGCTGCCTGGCTTCACCCGTCTTGCACACGGTAGCTAGTTTCTTGACAAGTATACCGTTTTGCCCTTTTTGTTAGGGTCCCCCTTGTTAAAGTCGAATCGTAGGAAAAAGACTACCCTTATTCTAGGGGCTACTCAAAAACCTAGGTGGGTATTCAAGATGTGTCGTTGGACGCCCCAGCAGTGGGTCTTTTGGCTAGAGCCCGGCTGACCACCCTGAAGTTGGGGGGATGTTCTTTGCGGGACGTCGGGGCAGTCGTGGTGGCAAGCGCGCTGAAGAATCACCCTACATTGGAGATGTTGTCACTTTGTTTCAATGGCATCACCGATCGTGGAGCACTGGCCCTTGCGGAACGTCTGGCAGGCAATGGAAGTTTGGAGCCCTAAACCCCTAAACCCTAAACCCCTAAACAGGCAATGGAAGTTTGGAGCACTTCGACTTAAGGTTCAACCACATTGGCTGCCAGGGAGCCATGGCCTTGGCAGGTGCCCAGAGACTCCAAGCCCCCTTTTAGGGTTTAGGGTTTAGGGTTTTGGGTTTTGGGTTTAGGGTTTAGGGTATAAGGTTTAGGAAAAACCCTTAAACTCTAGTGGGATCCCTAATATGATTAAATTCCTTAATTAAGGAATATACCCTTAAACTCTAGTAGGATCCCTAATATGCTTTAAGGCATATATTCCTTAATTAAGGGGTTTCGGAGTCTTGGCAGGTGCCTTGAACGAGAACACGAAGCTGAAACTCCTGGACCTCCTGGCTAATCCTATCCGGGGCAGGGGAGCCTGTGACCTTAGAGCACATGGGACGAGGATCCGCTGCTGGGTTCTGGAGTACCATACTTGAATACTTTTTTTTATTGGGCCTGTTCCTTCAAGGAACCATTATGAAATATAAGTCTGTCCTTTTTTCTCCCTGGTTACTTCAAAGTCCAGGCTGCGAGGTGCTTGAGATGCATCCTGACAGCTCTTGGGTTGGATGGATCTGTTGTGTTATGCGGAGGCTGTTCACTCGGATGGCCCTCTACGTCGCGACGGCCCCAATGCGCTTCTTCGCATGGTGGCAGAGGTTGCTGCGAGACTTGGACAGAGCAGGCATCGCGAAGCTCAGGCTTTTTACGGACGGTGAACACATGCACCAGTCGGCCGGATAAAATGGCATTTCGGACGACTCTGTGTGTGTCCTCAATAGGAGAACTTTAAACTTTCTGGCCCTATATGTTAGGTCTATGCGTATGAGATCTCTACGTGCCCTCTCAAGGTCCCGGATCACCCTGGCGCCTCAAGGTTTGCCTTAACATCAAAGGACTCATACCCCTAAACCCTAAACCCTAAACCCTAAAGGACTCATACCTTCAAAGGACTCTATTTCACCTCTAATGGCCCCTTGAAAAGGGTACTATAGGGTTTAAGGTTCATATTTAAAGGCTTTTGGGCCCGAAGACCCTTCTTTTATATAAGGCTTTTGGGCTATTTTGATGCTAAACGGACCCTTATGCCCTAAACCCTAAACCCTTATGGTACGCTTATAGAACCCTTACAGGACCCCCTAAGGCCCTTGGGCTATTTTGATGCTAAGGGTTGTGAAACCTTTCAGGAGCAAGCTCGAGACCCTACCCTCCAGGCTCGTTTAGGGGTTTAGGGTTTAGGG